GACCACGGATTTAGTCCACAGGGGGATCGGAGGCCAGTCGTCCTCTCATCACCTGGGCCCGGCATCACTGTTTTTTTGGGTAGGCTGCAAAAACACAAACCCGAGTTTATATGCAAAAAAAATTTTTCCTAAAGCTGACTGACCCTTTGCCTTTAAAAATTTACTGCATTTAGCCCAAAAAATGACTGACATTTGGCCTAAACCCCATGACCCTTTAGCCCAAATCTGACTGACCCTTTAGCCCAAAACCTGATGACATTTGGGCCCCAAAACCCCGTTTACATTTGGGCCCAAAAACCCGACTGACATTTTTGCCTTTAAAAAGGGAAATGACATTTTTGCCTAAAGGGTGGGTGACATTTAGGGTGGAAAATTAATGCATTTAGTCTAAACCTTTACTGGGCATTTAGCCCGAACCTTACTGAAAATTTAGTCTAAAACCCTTTTTGAAAATTTAGTCTAAAACCCTTTTCCGAAATTTAGTCTTTAACCCTTCTGACATTTAGTCTAAAAAACCCGATGACATTTAGCCTTTCCTGACTTGACATTTAGCCTGAACCCGATTTACATTTGGCCTAAACCTCACTGACATTTAGCCTAAACCTGACTGACATTTAGCCTAAAGCGAACTGACATTTAGCCTAAAGCTGACTGACATTTAGCCTGAACCTTACTGACATTTAGTCTAAACCTTACTGACATTTAGTCTAAACCTTACTGACATTTAGTCTAAACCTGACTGACATTTAGCCTAAACCTGACTTGACATTTAGCCTGAACCTGACTGAAATTTGGCCTAAACCTCACTGACATTTAGCCTAAACCTGACTGACATTTAGCCTAAAGCGAACTGACATTTGGCCTAAAGCTGACTGACATTTAGCCTAAACCTGACTGACATTTAGTCTAAACCTGACTGACATTTAGCCTAAACCTGACTGACATTTAGCCTAAACCTGACTGACATTTAGCCTGAACCTGATTGACATTTAGTCTAAACCTTACCTCCATTTGGTCTAAACCTCACTGACATTTAGTCTAAACCTGACTGACATTTAGCCTAAACCAGACTGATATTTAGCCTAAACCTGACTGACATTTAGTCTACACCTTACTGCCATTTGGTCTAAACCTCACTGACATTTAGCCTAAATCTGACTGACATTTAGCCTAAACCTGACTGACATTTAGTCTAAACCTGACTGACATTTAGCCTAAACCTGACTGACATTTAGCCTAAACCTGACTGCCATTTAGCCTAAACCTGACTGACATTTAGCCTGAACCTGAGTGACATTTAGCCTAAACCTGACTGACATTTAGCCTAAACCTGACTGACATTTAGCCTAAAGCGAACTGACATTTAGCCTAAACCAGACTGATATTTAGCCTAAACCTGACTGACATTTAGTCTAAATCTTACTGCCATTTGGTCTAAACCTGACTGACATTTAGCCTAAAGCTGACTGACATTTAGCCTAAAGCGAACTGACATTTAGCCTAAAGCTGACTGACATTTAGCCTAAACCTGACTGACATTTAGCCTAAACCTGACGGACATTTAGCCTAAACCTGACTGACATTTAGCCTAAACCTGACTGACATTTGGCCTAAACCGGACTGACATTTAGCCTAAACCTGACTGACATTTAGCCTAAAGCGAACTGACATTTAGCCTGAAGCTGACTGACATTTAGCCTGAACCTTACTGACATTTAGTCTAAACCTTACTGACATTTAGTCTAAACCTTACCGACATTTAGTCTAAACCTGACTGACATTTAGCCTAAACCTGACTTGACATTTAGCCTGAACCTGACTGGCATTTGGCCTAAACCTCACTGACATTTAGCCTAAACCTGACTGACATTTAGCCTAAAGCGAACTGACATTTGGCCTAAAGCTGACTGACATTTAGTCTAAACCTGACTGACATTTAGTCTAAACCTGACTGACATTTAGCCTAAACCTGACTGACATTTAGCCTAAAGCTGACTGACATTTAGCCTAAACCTGACTGACATTTAGCCTAAACCTGACTGACATTTAGCCTAAACCTTACTGCCATTTGGTCTAAACCTCACTGACATTTAGCCTAAATCTGACTGTCATTTAGCCTAAACCTGACTGACATTTAGCCTAAAGCTGACTGACATTTAGCCTAAACCTGACTGACATTTAGCCTAAACCTGACTGACATTTAGCCTAAACCTGACTGACATTTAGCCTAAAGCGAACTGACATTTAGCCTAAACCAGACTGATATTTAGCCTAAACCTGACTGACATTTAGCCTAAACCTGACTGACATTTAGCCTAAACCTGACTGACATTTAGCCTAAAGCTGACTGACATTTAGCCTAAACCTGACTGACATTTAGCCTAAAGCTGACTGACATTTAGCCTAAACCTGACTGACATTTAGCCTAAACCTGACTGACATTTAGCCTAAACCTTACTGCCATTTGGTCTAAACCTCACTGACATTTAGCCTAAATCTGACTGTCATTTAGCCTAAACCTGACTGACATTTAGTCTAAACCTGACTGACATTTAGCCTAAACCTGACTGACATTTAGCCTAAACCTGACTGACATTTAGCCTAAAGCTGACTGACATTTAGCCTAAACCTGACTGACATTTAGCCTAAACCTGACGGACATTTAGCCTAAACCTGACTGACATTTAGCCTAAACCTGACTGACATTTGACCTAAACCTGACTGACATTTAGCCTAAACCTGACTGACATTTAGCCTAAAGCTGACTGACATTTAGCCTAAACCTGACTGACATTTAGTCTCAACCTGACTGACATTTAGTCTAAACCTGACTGACATTTAGCCTAAACCTGACTGACATTTAGCCTAAACCTGACTGACATTTAGCCTAAACCTGACTGACATTTGGCCTAAACCTGACTGACATTTAGCCTAAACCTGACTGACATTTAGCCTAAAGCGAACTGACATTTTGCCTAAACCAGACTGATATTTAGCCTAAACCTGACTGACATTTAGTCTAAACCTTACTGCCATTTGGTCTAAACCTGACTGACATTTAGCCTAAAGCTGACTGACATTTAGCCTAAAGCGAACTGACATTTAGCCTAAAGCTGACTGACATTTAGCCTAAACCTGACTGACATTTAGCCTAAACCTGACGGACATTTAGCCTAAACCTGACTGACATTTAGCCTAAACCTGACTGACATTTGGCCTAAACCGGACTGACATTTAGCCTAAACCTGACTGACATTTAGCCTAAAGCGAACTGACATTTAGCCTGAAGCTGACTGACATTTAGCCTGAACCTTACTGACATTTAGTCTAAACCTTACTGACATTTAGTCTAAACCTTACCGACATTTAGTCTAAACCTGACTGACATTTAGCCTAAACCTGACTTGACATTTAGCCTGAACCTGACTGGCATTTGGCCTAAAGCTGACTGACATTTAGCCTAAACCTGACTGACATTTAGCCTAAAGCGAACTGACATTTGGCCTAAAGCTGACTGACATTTAGTCTAAACCTGACTGACATTTAGTCTAAACCTGACTGACATTTAGCCTAAACCTGACTGACATTTAGCCTAAAGCTGACTGACATTTAGCCTAAACCTGACTGACATTTAGCCTAAACCTGACTGACATTTAGCCTAAACCTTACTGCCATTTGGTCTAAACCTCACTGACATTTAGCCTAAATCTGACTGTCATTTAGCCTAAACCTGACTGACATTTAGCCTAAAGCTGACTGACATTTAGCCTAAACCTGACTGACATTTAGCCTAAACCTGACTGACATTTAGCCTAAACCTGACTGACATTTAGCCTAAACCTGACTGACATTTAGCCTAAAGCGAACTGACATTTAGCCTAAACCAGACTGATATTTAGCCTAAACCTGACTGACATTTAGCCTAAACCTGACTGACATTTAGCCTAAACCTGACTGACATTTAGCCTAAAGCTGACTGACATTTAGCCTAAACCTGACTGACATTTAGCCTAAAGCTGACTGACATTTAGCCTAAACCTGACTGACATTTAGCCTAAACCTGACTGACATTTAGCCTAAACCTTACTGCCATTTGGTCTAAACCTCACTGACATTTAGCCTAAATCTGACTGTCATTTAGCCTAAACCTGACTGACATTTAGTCTAAACCTGACTGACATTTAGCCTAAACCTGACTGACATTTAGCCTAAACCTGACTGACATTTAGCCTAAAGCTGACTGACATTTAGCCTAAACCTGACTGACATTTAGCCTAAACCTGACGGACATTTAGCCTAAACCTGACTGACATTTAGCCTAAACCTGACTGACATTTGACCTAAACCTGACTGACATTTAGCCTAAACCTGACTGACATTTAGCCTAAAGCTGACTGACATTTAGCCTAAACCTGACTGACATTTAGTCTCAACCTGACTGACATTTAGTCTAAACCTGACTGACATTTAGCCTAAACCTGACTGACATTTAGCCTAAACCTGGCTGACATTTAGCCTAAACCTGACTGACATTTGGCCTAAACCTGACTGACATTTAGCCTAAACCTGACTGACATTTAGCCTAAAGCGAACTGACATTTTGCCTAAACCAGACTGATATTTAGCCTAAACCTGACTGACATTTAGTCTAAACCTTACTGCCATTTGGTCTAAACCTCACTGACATTTAGCCTAAATCTGACTGACATTTAGCCTAAACCTGACTGACATTTAGCCTGAACCTAACTGACATTTAGCATAAACCTAACTGACATTTAGCCTGAACCTCACTGACATTTGGCCTGAACCTCACTGACATTTAGCCTGAACCTGACTGACATTTGGCCTAAACCTGACTGACATTTAGCCTGAACCTGACTGACATTTAGCCTGAACCTCACTGACATTTGGCCTTAACCTGACTGACATTTGGCCTTAACCTGACTGACATTTGGCCTTAACCTGACTGACATTTGGCCTTAACCTGACTGACATTTAGCTTTTGTGCGCTGTGTGAATGCAGCGTTAATCCACCTGAGCAGCTTGGGATGTTTCAGCCAATCAGACTGAAGGTTAAATCCATCTAAGTTCACCTGCTGTCCAGCCTGGGACTCCCCCATGATGAAACGATCTCCAGGTCCATCAGCAGCTGCACATTGGCAAGAATGATCCAGAATTAGGACAACTGAACTGTATTTAACGCAGGACTGGATCAACACAGAGTCAGGATCTAATAACTCACCTCGTACCGCATAGCCATCCTTAACCGAGGCAGGAAATGGAGGAAGGTTGTCTTTGGCATAGATGTCCTGAGCAAGCACCCGCCCTAAACCATCTGCAGAAGGCCAAGCACATTAAATCCTACTGGCTTTGAGTAAACTGGGAAAAACCAGATGATTCGGAATCAGACTTAACCCGAATCAGGCCGATCCCCGATCCGGCTGAACCTGAATCCGGCTGAACCATAATCAGGCTGATCCCAGATCAGGCTGAACCCGGATCATGCTGATCCCTAATCAGGCTTAACCTGAATCAGGCTGAACCTGAATCAGCACCGCACTGATCCCATTTCTGTCACCGTGACTCATGGAGGAGTCAGTGACACAATAAACGGATCAAGAACCAAATTCAGAATCAGAACATCTGACGTAAATTTTTACAACCAAATCATAATCAGAACCATCTAACCTAAACTGTTCAGAACCGGATCAGAATCAAAACCATCTCACCTAAGCTGTTCAGGACCGGATCAGAATCAAAACCATCTCACCTAAGCTGTTCAGGACCGGATCAGAATCGCAACCATCTAACCTAAACTGTTCAGAACTGGATCAGAATCAGAACCATATAAGCAGTCTCAGACTGACCTCTGTAGTTGATGACCTCGATGCCCAGAATGGGCGTCATCTCCAGAACAGTGATAAAGGCTTTGTCCATGGAAGTCAGCGGGAATGGCGACATGCGGTGGCGGCGTGCCACCTTACTGATGTCCACGGCGCTGTGGCCTGAAATAGGAATAGACAGAACCGCAGACGGCTTTAGGCGCCTACAGGTCCAGGGGAAGAGGACCAGGCTTGGAGGATGAATGAGACTTACTGGCTCTCAGGATGTTCTCGTTGCTGCCACATCGAGACTGGACCTGCAGAATAAAATCCATCTGCTGAATAAAAGAACCTTTAAATCACCTTAAAGGGGCCTGGTCACGTACCACAACTTTAACACACCTGCAGCACTGACCCTAACGACTTTAACACACCTGCGGCACTGACCCTCACGACTTTAACACACCTGCGGCACTAACCCTAACACTTTAACACACCTGCAGTACTGACCCTCATGACTTTAACACACCTGCGGCACTGACCCTAACACTTTAACACACCTGCGGCACTAACCCTAACACTTTAACACACCTGCGGCACTGACCCTAACGACTTTAACACACCTGCGGCACTGACCCTCACGACTTTAACACACCTGCGGCACTAACCCTAACACTTTAACACACCTGCAGCACTGACCCTCACGATTTTAACACACCTGCGGCACTAACCCTAACACTTTAACACACCTGCAGTACTGACCCTAACACTTTAACACACCTGCAGTACTGACCCTAACACTTTAACACACCTGCAGTACTGACCCTCACGACTTTAACACACCTGCGGCACTAACCCTAACACTTTAACACACCTGCAGTACTGACCCTCACGACTTTAACCCACCTGCAGCACTGACCCTAACGACTTTAACACACCTGCAGTACTGACCCTCACGACTTTAACCCACCTGCAGCACTGACCCTAACGACTTTAACCCACCTGCAGCACTGACCCTAACGACTTTAACCCACCTGCGGCACTGACCCTAACGACTTTAACACACCTGCGGCACTGACCCTAACGACTTTAACACACCTGCAGCACTGACCCTAACGACTTTAACACACCTGCAGCACTGACCCTAACGACTTTAACACACCTGCGGCACTGACCCTAACGACTTTAACACACCTGCAGCACTGACCCTAACGACTTTAACACACCTGCAGCACTGACCCTAACGACTTTAACACACCTGCGGCACTGACCCTAACGACTTTAACACACCTGCAGCACTGACCCTAACGATTTTAACACACCTGCAGCACTGACCCTAACGACTTTAACCCACCTGCGGCACTGACCCTAACGACTTTAACACACCTGCGGCACTGACCCTAACGACTTTAACACACCTGCAGCACTGACCCTAACGACTTTAACACACCTGCAGCACTGACCCTAACGACTTTAACACACCTGCAGCACTGACCCTAACGACTTTAACACACCTGCGGCACTGACCCTAACGACTTTAACACACCTGCAGCACTGACCCTAACACTTTAACACACCTGCAGTACTGACCCTCATGACTTAAACACACCTGCGGCACTGACCCTCACGATTTTAACACACCTGCAGCACTGACCCTCACGATTTTAACCCACCTGCAGCACTGACCCTAACGACTTTAACACACCTGCAGCACTGACCCTCACGATTTTAACACACCTGCAGCACTGACCCTAACACTTTAACACACCTGCGGCACTGACCCTCACGACTTTAACACACCTGCAGCACTGACCCTCACGATTTTAACACACCTGCAGCACTGACCCTAACACTTTAACACACCTGCGGCACTGACCCTCACGATTTTAACACACCTGCAGCACTGACCCTCACGATTTTAACCCACCTGCAGCACTGACCCTAACACTTTAACACCTGCAGCACTGACCCTAACGACTTTAACACACCTGCGGCACTGACCCTAACGATTTTAACACACCTGCAGCACTGACCCTAACGACTTTAACACACCTGTGGCACTGACCCTAACGATTTTAACACACCTGCAGCACTGACCCTAACACTTTAACACCTGCAGCACTGACCCTAACACTTTAACACACCTGCGGCACTGACCCTCACGACTTTAACACACCTGCAGCACTGACCCTCACGATTTTAACCCACCTGCAGCACTGACCCTCACGACTTTAACACACCTGCACCACTGACCCTAACACTTTAACACACCTGCAGCACTGACCCTAACACTTTAACACACCTGCGGCACTGACCCTCACGACTTTAACACACCTGCAGCACTGACCCTAACACTTTAACACACCTGCGGCACTGACCCTAACGACTTTAACACACCTGCAGCACTGACCCTAACGACTTTAACCCACCTGCAGCACTGACCCTAACGACTTTAACACACCTGCAGCACTGACCCTAACACTTTAACACACCTGCAGCACTGACCCTAACACTTTAACACCCCTGCAGCACTGACCCTCACGATTTTAACACACCTGCAGCACTGACCCTCACGATTTTAACACACCTGCAGCACTGACCCTAACACTTTAACACACCTGCAGCACTGACCCTCACGACTTTAACACACCTGCAGCACTGACCCTCACGATTTTAACACACCTGCAGCACTGACCCTAACACTTTAACACACCTGCGGCACTAACCCTAACACTTTAACACACCTGCAGCACTGACCCTAACACTTTAACACACCTGCAGCACTGACCCTAACACTTTAACACACCTGCGGCACTAACCCTAACACTTTAACACACCTGCGGCACTAACCCTAACACTTTAACACACCTGCGGCACTGACCGTCACGATTTTAACACACCTGCAGCACTGACCCTAACACTTTAACACACCTGCAGCACTGACCCTAACACTTTAACACCCCTGCAGCACTGACCCTCACGACTTTAACACACCTGCAGCACTGACCCTAACACTTTAACACACCTGCAGCACTGACCCTAACACTTTAACACACCTGCAGCACTGACCCTAACACTTTAACACACCTGCAGCACTGACCCTAACACTTTAACACACCTGCGGCACTGACCGTCACAACTTTAACACACCTGCAGCACTGACCCTAACACTTTAACACCCCTGCAGCACTGACCCTCACGACTTTAACACACCTGCAGCACTGACCCTAACACTTTAACACACCTGACACCTGCAGCACTGACCCTAACACTTTAACACACCTGACACCTGCAGCACTGACCCTAACACTTTAACACACCTGACACCTGCAGCACTGACCCTAACACTTTAACACACCTGACACCTGCAGCACTGACCCTAACACTTTAACACACCTGACACCTGCAGCACTGACCAGTCTGAACATCATTTTAATCTCTCGTCTATCCTGAAGCCAAACAAATAGACGGGGAATCTGAAGCTCACTAGAGTGAAACGCGCTGCCTTGGCAATTTGTGCAATATTGTGCTGAAAGTCCTAAATAGAAAAGGTGACGAAGTATTTGGAAAAAAGACGTGGCTGAGCAAACATGGCTACTGCGGTCCGTCAATTTTGCAGACGGAGCTGCATTTCACTCATTGCCCCCCCGCCATGCTGCTGGGTTTACATCTGAGAAGAGGAATATAAAGAGGAATCCTCAGCGAATTGCCCACGACGGTCCTGACCTCACAGTTACTGATCAGGAGGTGGTTGTGAGAGGCTGATCGCCGCTCGTAACCCCCTGTACACTAAACGACTCACCATCAGGCTGAAAGTCGACCTGATCAAAAAATTCCGCACGACTGGAAAATCGCACAGTGTACGCCCGGCTTAACTGCTCGGGAATCTACTCTGATGTTAGTGTTTATCAGTTAGCAGTTCATAACCACACGTCCCTCTTTACCGCCCCCTGCTGGACGAATCCCATCAGGTAGTTCAGTTAACTGGACATAGAGCCTCTAACTGGAACCAGTAGAGCTGCTGGTGCAGAGCAGGAAGTCGGTACGTGACTGGGCCCCCTTCAGGAACAGGGATCCTAACGTCTAGAGCTGGATTTTTGTGAGAACGTGTTTAGAAACCCGGTTCTGGTCCGAAGGGAAAACACTGGGGTTTAAATCCAGACAGGAAGAACCGGAATGACCAGAACCAGCAGAACCAATGCATCAGGCTGCTAACCGGGTCACAGTCCTGAAGTTCTGCTCAGTCCATCAGAACCGGTTCCGCTTGGGAGGATTTTTAACACGACTGAAGGTTCTTGGAATGATCTTTGGAAAACCTCCCAGCCTCATTAACTCCCAACAACACGCAGGCCCCAGAAGAACCAGAACCCGTTTGGTTTGGGCCGGGTCACAAACACATTTCACAATAATCCCCATCAGAACCGTCACAGAACCATGCAGCGCCAGAGGAACCAACCACAGCTCCACACATGCAGGAGGCGTCCGCCAGAGTCTGAGGAGCGGTCAGAACCGCCGACCCGCCAGAATCTGACGACCCACCAGCTGGCGGCTCATGCAGTGAGACGTTTGACCCGGTTCCGGTTCTGGCCGGTCGGTGTGTGCAGGTTTGTGCGTACCTTGGGAGTCGGGCACGAGGCGGTGGAAAGGCGGGACGTCGCCTGTGTGGCCCGTGGTGATTCGGAGGGGGTGGAGCTTAAAGAAGCCGAATCTCGGGGAAGGACCTGAACGCCTCGAGAAATGATCGAGTCCGGGATCTACGCACACACACACACACACACACACACTGAGCGCAGGTCCAAACACTGCTTCAGTTCTGCTTCGGCTGAAGGAAAACAGAAAGTCAGTACCCACACCATGACACAGCCTCCACCGTGCTCAGAGCTTTATTCTGTTTCCACTGATCTGATGCCAGGAACTCAGACCTGTTCAGACCTCCGAGTCCGCTCCAATTTTTCTATAATCGATGCTGAAGTTGGAGGACTTTTCTCAGAGAATTGGATTTTAGAGCAATAATGGTTCTGACCCAATTAGGTATTTAGAATCGGTTGAAATGGACCTCCTTTCATGGCCAATTATTGGTCCCTCTGCTGGAGGATGTACCGCTTCCTGACCAATCAGAGCCCAGAGAGCAGTGGGACACACCCACTCCCAGGAGAATTTAGCACTGGATGGTTCTGGAGAACCTGGACCTGTCTGGTTCTGGTTCAGAACTCAGCAGGTTGGACTGAAAACCTGACCCGTTAAAGTCCGTGTGAACTTAGCTAGTGATGCTGTGGGCTGGCCCTCATCTCTGCTCCCTACAAGCAGGAGGGAATCCCCATAGCAACCATTGTGTGTGGGAGACTGTAAGGCGGAGGTTCTGACTGGTACCAGAACCAAGCTGGTCCAAAGCTCAGTGGAAAGACCACCTTCCATGGTGGATCTGCTCCTCCTCCACAAAAAGCTCTGAGGAGAAGAAGCCAAACCAGCTGTGGGACCAGAACCTTCCACAGCTGGAAGGAGCATACAGTGGCATGCCCCTCCACCACCTGTTGCTGCACGCAGACAGTCAGCTGGCCTGTGAACACTGTGACTGCTTTGGTTCTGGTCTAGGATGAGCTGCGTGCAGCTGAATGAGGATCATTCTGATTCGCTAAGGAAACGCTGGATGCTGGATGAAGATCAATCATCATCATCATCATCATCATCAATGTGTTTAATTACAGCCAAGTTCTGTTTCAGGTCGGTTCTCCAGGTCCATCAGAAGGACTCAGTGTGAACAGGAGGATCAATCAAAGCTGAAGAGGTCAGAGGTCAACCTGGTGGAGGAACAGACAGGATGAGGATGAGGATGGAGGTGCTATGTCTCACCTGGAGGTCATGGGAACAGGTGAAATGAGCAGGGGGTGCAGGTGTGTTTCCAGGCAGGTAGGGGGCTCCCTTAACCATGACCGCCACATGGCTGCTCTGATCACACGCATGGAGACACAGACGGACACATGAATGATGATGTGAAGGAGCATAAGCAGCTGCTTGGAGCAGATACCAGCCTGGTTGCTATGGCAACTGATGACTCCTCTAGATTTGAACCCTCAACCTTTAGGCTGTGCACAGCGGTGGGCGGTTACCTTTGCAGCGATGGCAGCTGCAGTGATGTGGGAGGAGCTGTGCTGCTGGTGGTGGTGGTGATGGTGGTGGTGGTGGTTGTGTCGCCCTCTCCTCATATCCTCCTCCTCTTCGTCCTCTTCCTCACACTGGGTGCCCCGCTCCATGGTGTGCGTGTTGGCGTGGGCGTCCCCGTGTGTGTTGGTCAGCAGCGAGGACGGCGAGGGCAGCTGCTCCAGGGCAGCGTGCGTGGATTTAACTCTGACGGAGGCTTCGCGCAGCAGGTCGACGGCGTGAGGCAGAGCAGGCAGGATGAACTGGAAACACTCCTGCAGGAACAGAGACGTAAAAGGTCGCCGCTCTGATGGTATCCATCTTTGATCTGTTTTTGGGTCATGCTGATGCAGATGATCACCGTGAATAACAGTCAGAACCAAACCTGAGAGCCTTTCTTACTGCCTGGAAGGTTGATGATCAGAGTTTTTCCACGAATACCGCAGACTGGCCTGAAATCAGTGCAGAGGAACAGGCTTAGCTCGGCACACGAACCTGAACCTGGTGTGAACACACGGGACCTCACCTGGACAGCATTCCTAGAGGAGTGACGTTGAGGGATCCCATGAGCATGGCCAGCGCCATTCCTGGAGCCTCTCGCTCAATCACCTCCCTGGTTGCCTGGAACATCAGTTCATAAACAGCGTTATTAAAGACGCTAGCTAAAAATGTTGTTCAGCAAACCACGAATAACGAAGAGCCTGGGAAGATATCACAAACACGCCAGGCTACCTGCTTCAAGCTAGCAGCCAGGCTACCTGCTTCAAGCTAGCAGCCAGGCTACCCAATTTAAGCTAGCTGCCAGGCTACCCAATTTAAGCTAGATGCCAGGCTACCCAATTTAAGCTAGATGCCAGGCTACCTGCTTCATGCTAGCAGCCAGGCTACCCGCTTCAAACTAGAAGCCAGGCTACCCACTTCAAGCTATCAGCCAGGCTACCTGCTTCAAGCTAGCAGCCAGGCTACCTGCTTTAAACTATCAGCCAGGCTACCCCCTTCAAACTAGCAGCCAGGCTACCAGATTTAAGCTAGCTGCCAGGCTACCTGCTTCAAGCTAGCAGCCAGGCTACCCGATTTAAGCTTCAAACTAGCTGCCACGCTACCTGCTTCATTTAGCAGCCATGCTACCTGCTTCATTTAGCAGCCATGCTACCTGCTTCATGTTAGCAACCAGGCTACCTCCTTAAAGCTATCAGCCAGGCTACCTGCTTCAAGATAGCTGCCAGGTTATGTGCAATAGGCTAGCTCCCAGGCTATGTGTTACAGGTTGGCATCCAGAAAAGGTGCTACAGGTTAGCTACTAGGCTACGTGCTATAGGGCTTGGGTGTCATGAGGTAATTACTTTGCGTTGCCGCCATCTTGAGGGCCTCCTTTACTGCTGCTCAGACTACTGCCTATGACTACCGCGTACTGTACTCCCTCTCAGCCGTGTTTTAATTTGATTAATTTCACCTTAACTTGATTTCAACCATGGTAAACCGTTGCTGTATTATGGGCTGTAACAGCGCAACACATGATCGCCATGGGAACAACATAGAAAATGAGTTAATTCTCCACCGCTTTCCTGCCTGGAGGCGTAACCATGGAGACCAAGCGTCAGAGATAAAGAGTGTTTCTCAATATGCGTTCTTGAGCGTTCTCGTGTGCTCGTGTACTCGTGATACATCATCGGCCTCGGCCCGAGTACCGTTCCAATTCTCGAGAACGCCAGATCGAGAACGCATCAAATCCCCGGATGTTGTTCTCGCCCCGCCCTCTTTATCGAGCATGCATCCGAGCAGACTTGTGCGTTCTTCAGACTGACCGCTTCCCCAAAATGCCCCGCGGCCGCAGCTTGATTCCAGACAGCACTCACAGTGGTAAGTTAAACATTCCCTTTTCTGCGGCTGTTGTTCTTCAAAAGTACGTTTTGAAATCGTTTGAGGCGAGAATATTATACATTGAAGCCTCCCTGTGTGGCCTGTTTACAGAGTTAGTGCGAAATTAAAAAAAAAAGTCCGACGTTGAGCGGACCAGAGTGACCAGCAGACCTCCGAGGGTAACCGCAGCCAGGGCTAAATTTACCCCGTCTGTAGTGCACTTCTCTCGGTCTAGTTATGTGTGAACTACCGCTCGTTCTGATGGCGTTTTTTTGCGGTTCGTAATTTTTTTAAATGTTTTTTAAGCTTTAGAAATTAAAAATATTGTTTTCAAAATGTTTTCTGTAGGGAATAAATAGTTTTGACTGTTAAAGAAATGCTAAACAACGTTGTCTGTGATGACGTCACGAGTACGCTTCTGCTCCAATACACGTACGTGCTTGCGTGCTCGCGTTCTCGTCAAGTCCGATCTTCCTGCGTTCTCGCCAAGAACGGACTTGACGAGAACGCGAGTACATACTCGCGTTCTCGTGAATTGAGAAACGCCCGAAGAGTCGTCGGCTAGCTTGGATCGCGGCTGTAAGACGACCGAACATAACTTTCCACAGTATCCCGATGTCATTGAGAGTGTGTTCCCTGCATTTTCATTCTGGTAAGTTAAAGATGCACGGTTTTATTTTATAGCCTACTTTGTTTCTTTCCTTCAAAGTTGGGATCTTTTACGGGAAAATAATAAAAACGGCAGCGGGAAAAGGCTCAAATACGTGAGAAACCCGGAGGGTTTGGGGAGGGTTGAAACACATAGCAGCTAGTTAAAAGTACATTACATGCGTGAGTGGTTGTTAGCATTAGCGGTTAGCAGTTGCCCGTCTGATCACAGCTTACCTTCGTACGGATTACTGTGTTCCCACTGTTTGCTGGCTTTATGATCTGCAGCTCCTGAACCCGTCCATTCATGAACTGCACATGAGACTCCAAGGACTTGTAGCTTGGGAACTGTTTTGAAGTATAGGCGCTCACTCATCGGTGCTCCACTCATTGTTAGGAACTTCATACGGATCCAAATTATTAATAATGCTGATTTTGTCAACATACCGGTCCGTGGCTTCTCTATTTAACGTGTCCCGGTAAATTCCAGATCCTTTTCGGGATTTTAACATCTTTTTTCTCTCTACTTCTACGTGTTTCTTTCAACAACAACGTTGTATCACGGTGTACCACGTCCCACAATGCAACGCGGATCCCAAGCCCTATGGGTTAGCTGAAGGCTAAGTGCTATAGGTTAGTTACCAAGCTAGGTGCTACAGGTTAGCTACCAGGGTAATGGTTCCTGTTTTGGATGCTTTTTTTATCTGCCCTAGAAGGCTGTCTGGTCTAAAACCCAGGTTCAGATCCTTCCTAGTTCTGTTACTCGTTCAGAATGGACCTGGCCGGTTCTCCTACATGCTGCTAGAGCCCAGATCACTGGTACCTCTGGTGTAACATCCCGTGGAGCGAAACCAGTTCCCCCAGTGGTCAGGATGAGGTTGAGCTCCTGTTCATCACACCACTCCAGCAGAGTTTCCTGCATGTGGACACAGGAGCAGAGTCGGCATGTCCACCTCCAGAACCAGCATCTGAGCAGCTCTGCTTTCCTCAGCAGAACCAGAACCTACCTTGATCTCCTCGATCTCGTCCGGAACGATCTTGTAAGCTGCAATGACTCCTCCCAGCCTGCAGAGGGAGACGGTGGTTAGTCACAGGAAGAAGTGCAGTCGCTGGCGTTCATGTGGAGACTCACAGTGACGGGTCGTGGACCAGGTCCTTCAGGTTGACTCCACTGCGGTCTTCTGCCAGGTTCTTGAAGCAGCTGTCGCTGACTGAGGACGAGAAGTTCAGGTTAGGAACTAGAACCAGCAGCCCGACCCTGTCTTCCACAGTCCTTCCAACCATCCACAGTGAGGCTGGACGGCCATCAGAACCGGGTCCTGACCCACTGGGTCCAGCTGCCTTTATATGGATGGAAGATGATTGACTGATTGACTTTATTGGTTGGTTTTATTGATCCGCTGCTCAGCAGTCAGAACAGGAAGTGAACACGATACATCTCACAAATAGCAGCAGCACCTATTGCACATATAGATGGATATTTATATATATAGTTATTGCTCTTTGACTAAAGGAGCTGCTCAGCTCCTCTCCAGTCTGCTTCAGAGGAGGGAAGGTGACGTCCATGATGGATGGAAGCTTGGACAGCAGCCTCCTCTCAGCCACTTCCTCCACTGAGTCCAGCCCAGGACAGAAACGGCCAGTTTGTTCAGTCTCTTTCTGTCCCGCTCTGTCCAGCAGACGACAGCGTGGAGGAGGGCTGATGCCCCCACAGAGTCAGAGAAGGTTTGAAGCAGGGACCTGCTCACTCCAAAGGACCTCAGCCTCCTCAGGAGGTGGAGGGAGGCGACTCAGGCCCTTCTTCTACAGGGCGTCGATGTTATGAGTGCAGTTTATTATTGACGTGAACACCCAGGGATTTGAAACTCTCCACAGTTTCTATCTCCTGCCCTGGATGTTCATGGGAGAGTGAGGTGGGGGTCTTCTCCTGAAGTCCATCACCATCTCCTTGGTCTTACTGGTGTTCAGATACAGGTGGTTCTTCTCACACCAATCCACAAAGTTCATGATGGTAGTTGACGGTCCAGGCAGCAAGATGCCTGTTCACTCCAGCCTCCCTCAGCAGCTCTGCTCTGATGAGGCTGGAAGAGTCAAAGATGGTGACTCTCACTGCTCTCTGGTTCTGAACTCGGCTCCTGCTCTTTCCTCATCCGTTCCAAGAGCGGGTCGTCCAGGAACAGGTTCTTCATCACTGAGAATGGATGAAGGAGAGCTGAGCGGAGCCATGAGGACGACCCGTTTCATACCGGTGCAGTGCTCCCCCTGCAGGCCACTGGCGGCACTGCACTCTAAATGACCCAGTCTGTGCTTTGATTCTGGTATCAGACCGGTTTGGTCCAGCAGGTCCAGAATCCTGGAGTTCCTGCTGAAGACGAGGAAACATTCAGCCTTTGGATGAAATCCTCCATCTGAGGGTCAGAGAGGAGAGTTTCTGGGTAGAGCAGCACAGAGGGAGCATCAATAAGCAGCAGGAGATAAAGGTGGCATTGAAGGATCATTGGAGGGGGTCAAAGGTCACTCTGTGACAGAGATGGGCACTGTGGAGTCACCAAGATGCCTCCATGTGTTTTTGTTCTGAACAACCACAGAACCAGGAGGGTCCAACTAGATCTGCTGACTGGAGGCGACTGCATCTCTGCACCAACAAACGCCCACTCAGGTATCAGTCTGTGTTCTGGGTGGATCCATGGAGAACCACAGTCAGAACCATCATCCACTGATTGAGAACTTCTCCGGCGGAGGTCCGTCTACCAGCCCAGAACATCATCTACACTCTGTCGCCTCCATGAAGGTCAAAGGTCATCCTGGACAGAAAGGGTACTGGTGGGAGACCAGAACCACGCCGGCCCAAAAGGACAGAGATCTGAGCCACTTTACCGGTAAACATGTAGAGGAGCTCTGTGGGCAGGAGAGGCTTCTCTAACCAGTATTCCCAGTATTCCCAGTGGAAATGAGGAAGCAGAGGGAGACGATGGTTTCCAGGTTTATGAGCCAAGAATTTGGTTTAAAGAACGACTTCTAGACAAACCGGATCAAAGACTGGGAGCGAGCTCTGGCAGTCTGTCCCCGAGCCTGAGGGCTGCACGGTGGAACAGGGGTACAACAATAGGGTCCTGGGTTTGATTCCCGACCCAGGGCCGAGACTCTCCAGGTACTCCGGCTTCCTCCCACAGTCCAAAATAATGACTGTTAGGTTAAGTGGCTTCTCTAAATTCTCCTTAGGTGTGAGTGTGAATGGTTGGTTGTCCAGGTGGGACCCCGCCTCCCTGTCCAGGTGGGACCCCGCCTCCCTGTCCAGGGGGGACCCCGCCTTCCTGTCCAGGTGGGACCCCGCCTTCCTGTCCAGGTTGGACCCCGCCTTCCTGTCCAGCTTGGACCCCGCCTCCCTGTCCACGGGGGACCCCGCCTCCCTGTCCACGGGGGACCCCACCTCCCTGTCCAAGTTGGACCCCACCTCCCTGTCCAGGGGGGACCCCGCCTCCCTGTCCAGGGGGGACCCCGCCTTCCTGTCCAGGTTGGACCCCGCCTTCCTGTCCAGCTTGGACCCCGCCTCCCTGTCCACGGGGGACCCCACCTCCCTGTCCAGGGGGGACCCCGCCTCTCACCCACTGACAGCTGGAGATAGACACCAGCACCACCGTGACCCCCGCAGGTATAAAGAGTGACAGGCATGGATGGATGGACGGTGGCCAGTTTTTCCAGCCCAGCTGTTGGATTATTAATCCCTCCACTGATGCTGTGGAGCGTCGCTCTGCCATCGATGTCTCCTGGTTCCTCCTGCTGGTGGAATGGCGTCTTTCAGCCTTCACCCTCATGGTGTTTTTAGTCCCATTGATTGGTAGCTTACGGCTCCACAGACGGCTGGTTCTCAGCAGAAAGGGGTTGCTGGTTCAGCTCCCCCTGACGGGCTCCTCCTCTCCTGCTCCGCTGTCCTGTGGCGTTCACCAGGGCTCCTTCTCCTTCCACTGGACTCCATTTTTAGAATCTATGGCGTCTTCTTCCACTGATGAGGATGACTGCTGCTCCATCAAACTCTTCATCATGTTGTGATATTAAAGGCTCTAAATTGCCTGGACTTAAATGAACACAGACCCCTCCCAGCATGGCTCCTTAGCGAGGCGCCAAGTCCTCATTACCCCCCCCCCAAAGTAGTTCTATGTTTAGCTTATTCAGCCAGTGCAGGATTGTTGATGCACAGATCTGTTTCAGCGTCAGATTCAATCCAACACGGTAAATCCTGGAAACTGGAATCAGGATTATAATCCTTCTATTGCGTGATTGGCTGTTTAAAGGAATAACGACACGCTGAAGGAAACAGGAAACGATTGGACATCCAGATGAACAGGAAATTAATTAAAAAATTTATGTATAACATGGATGCATAAACACCTCATTTTATTTCAGTGTTAAATTCTGTTTAAAGTAACAGATCATAAAAAATGTCTCCAGATCTTTACTGGTTGATGATTTTCTTTATTCAGACCCGCTGATTTTTAATTGGTTCCCCTGGTTTAATGTTTCTAAATCTTTATTTCCCGTCATGTGCTCCATCCAATGCAGATCATTGGCTCCGCCCACATCTAGTGAAAACTAGTGTGATTGGATGAGTCATAGAACGCAAACACTCATTGGTTAGCTAAAGGAAACCATCAGAAGCCAGCAGGTGTTCTTCAAACTGCTAACGTGAATTGTCTATGCCATGCTACAATGTGGGATTCAGAAAAAGATGTTGGAATGTCTGAAAGGTCGGACACAGGAGAGAGCGTATCGGGAGACGGAGACCAACAAGACCTCCCTCATCCTCGGCCCTATCTCAGATGATTTAGAGAAATAGACGAAAAATTGAGCTTTCAGTTCATCTAGCGGCATCTGGCTGTTTTTTTAAAGGTTACTTTATACTTTAAGTAGTTTCTGGAGCACATAGTTTTTCACTTTTACTTGAGTAAAGAGGTCAAGTTGACACATCAACTTTTACCAGAGTGTTTTTAAACTGCAGTATCTATGGCCCTGTCCACACGAAGTCAAAACGAACACGAAATGCTAATATTTTCCAGAACGTTTGTCGTAAAGACGGAGACGTAAAATAAATGTGATCGTCCACACGAATGCATGAAAACGCTGCAAAATGTATGCCAGGCCTGTAAGTGGCGCTGTGGTGCCAAAGCAAAAATAAGCCACGAAATGTTGGGCATGCGCAGTAATATTTATACATGGTTGCCCTGCGGGTCCATTTTGGTGGTTCAGTCAAATTCAGGTGCTGAACTATGTGGTCGATATTGCTCTGTTCTTCTGGAGATATTCCAGAAGAAGAAGATTCTGTTGTAAGCCCGACAGCAGGGTGAGTAGCATGAGCAGCAACCATTCAACACAGTACGCCGCCATTGTTGTTGTGATACTGTGTCGCGCATGCGTGTTTAGAGGCGACGCTATGACGCATGCGTGTAAGAAAAAAAATGCGGTTAGAGCGTAAAGATGGAAACGCGAAAACGGCGTTTCAAAATCTTCCCACTCTGAAGGCTAAATAAAAAAAAGATCGTTTACAGACCCCCGAAACGCCGGCTTCGTATGGATGAGAGGCTGGTTTGGTGAAAAATTTGTGCGTTTAGGCCAGGGTTTGACTTCGTGTGGACGGGGCCTATACTTCTACTGAAGTAACCAATGCGGGAACTTTTGACGCCGCTGGCTGTTAGATTTCCCGCCTTATTCCAGGAACAGCATGATTGATGAGCAAAGTTCAGATTAAGGATTGGAAAAAGCGTCACCAGACGGCGCCTCCTCCCCGAACATGAAAGAAGCGGCGAACGGTTTACTCAGAATCAGAATGGCGCCCGTTAGCAACACGGACTGAGGAAGAGGAACCGGATGAAGAGGAGGAAGAATCCTCCAGATTTTCAGAATAGTCAACCCCCCCGCCCCCCCCAACACACACACAGGGGGGTTGACTATTCTGAAAATTAAAGAATCTGCCTGAACACAGCTGTGGTGGCAGTATGATGCTCTGGGCTGCCACCATCTGGACCTCTGCCTGAAGAAGGTCCAACAGTCAGGTTCTGCAGCAGAACCTCTGAAGGGTCCAAAGAGACCAAGGGCTGGAGTGTCCTAGTCCAAGTCTGGACCTGAACCCTTCATGGTCCAATCAGGTCCCAACTCTGCAGTGACGACAGGAACCAGCAGTACACATTGTTTATTTGGTACCAGCCTGACAAACAGAACCAGAACCCCATTAGTTCTGCAGAAACGGCTGCTCCGCCGAACCAGAACCGAACCAGAGGAAAGCATGGCTCAGCAGAACCTCCTGGGAGCAACATGGAGGACCTCCGTCAGAAACACTCCAGGACTCTGAAGGTCTTCCACATGAGGAGCACGTGACTACATGTGACTGCATGTGACCTCCCCCCCCCCCGGGGTTCTGCTCCATACTGGTCCCAGTCCTCCCAGCACTGTGTTGTGATGAAGATGCTGGAGGACCGGTTCCGGTTCTGCAGGAGGTCCCGGAGCCTCGCGCCTCTGCAAAGGGACATGAATAATGCAGCTCGTGTCGGTTCGGCATCGCTACGGCGCAGGGAGACTTCCGGCGCGGCGCCACCTTCAAAATAAAAGCCCGGGTCTGGATCTGAGCGGCTGCGGCCCGCGGAGGGAGGCCGACATCTTTTATTTTGAAAGTCTGGACCGGGGTTCCTCCTCCAGATTAAAATAGCTGAAAAAGCTCAGATTCCAGAATCAAAATCATTTCTCAGCAAACTAATAATGTCTGAATGCAGATTTCCACCCATTCCCCGTCGAGCCGCTCACAGAACCGAGCCCACATCAGTCCGAACCGGACCGAACCCCCCCGGTTAGCCGCTGCTAGCCGAGCCGCTCTGCGAGCCTCTCAGCCCGGATCGTGACAGGCAACAGAAAACGGGCCGGATGTGCAGCGATCAGGGCCCCCAGGAGCCGCAGCTTACCCGTCAGGATGCCCACTCGGGTCGTATGGTCGTGGTTGGTGAGCACCATCCCGTCCGCCGCCATGTTTCCAGCCTCTGTCTGCACCGTGACGGCTCATACGTAGAGGCAGGGGGAGGAGGTGGTGCTGCTGCACCTCTGGAGGACGACCCCCTCTCTGCATGCATGCACCAGTGGCCCCCAGCTGGGAGGAGCCCCCCAAACACTGGAAGGGCTTCTGATGCTGCCCACAAGCAGCGGTGGAAAACATCTGGTTCTCCAGCAGATGTTCAATAGATCTGATAGAATCCATGGAAGCTTCATTCATCAGCATGATGGAAAAAATAAAGGAAAAAAAATAATCTATCTATGTATCTATGTATCTATCTATCTATAGGTTTATTGCTATCTTAGACGCTATCTTTATATCTATTATTATTTAAATTAATCCAAATGGTTGATGAGAACATGTTACCCAACATTATTAAATCAATTAACTCCAACATTCTGGACTCACGTGTTAAATGTGGAGATTAAGGCAGTTTGATTCATGGCCTCTAGGAATGTCCTGAGATTCCAAATACTGATCTGCACTGCCGACTGTTTATTCACAGCACCAATTGTTTACATTTACATCTGCAATAACGTACTTTAACTGTAATATGCAATTACCTTCCACTGCACTTTAATTTAGATAGCTTCTGTCCAAACTTTATTTATTCATTATATAGTAAAACCCATCTGTATATATGCTATTGGACATAACTGTAAAAACCCTTTCTATAGTAATATTCACCTGTATATTATATTCAGTAAATATCCAGCTGTAAATTTAGATCATAACACTAGTGATCTATATATTATATTCATTATTTTTAATGGTATTCATCTCTATACTCATTCAGTAGAACCCATGTCGTGTATCTATGGAACAATTATTTCTCCTGCTCTGCTGCTGTTGCACTTCTGGTTAGACCTAAACTGCATTTCATTGCCTTGTACCTTTACCTTAGCCTGACGTAGTCCGACTCAATCCTAGTCAGAATGAGTCTGATGCTGCTCCATAGAGCTGTGATTATGGGGCGTGTTTCGAACGAACCAGGAAAAAAAATGCCTCTGCACTCAATAGGATAGACCTACAACCAATAAGAGCAACGGAGTGCGTGACGTATGTTAAGCGAGGCATAGTTGTTGTCAACAAAAATCAAAGCGTGCAGTTTCACGCCTAGAATAAGAAGATGAGCCTTGATCGCGTTTCTCTGTTCCTCTTTTAAAATTAATTTGCTGTCGATATCTTCTAGAACAGACCTAATAGCAGAATCTACTCACCTCAACTCTCCAGCGGCAGCCATTGTTGTTGTCACCCTAGCGCGCTTTGGTCACGTGGTTGATTACGTTACTCTTGATCATCTGTCCATCATAGTATAAAGCCCGCCCTGACAATTTGATTGGATCGCCTGACAGTGGGCGATAATACTCGCGCTACTATGGAGCAGAGCCAGACCGAACTTCCCCGAACTAGGCTACCTTTACCTGTGTAATGACAAGAAAGTTGAATCTAATCTGATCTACTATCCTTAGTCCCAGTGCTAACCTTAGTGCCTGTACTAACCTTAATCCTAGTGCTACCCTTAGTCCCTGTACTAACCTTAGTCCCGGTCCTAACCTTAGTCCCGGTACTAACCTTAGTCCCGGTGCTAACCTTAGTCCCAGTGCTAACCTTAGTGGCTGTACTAACCTTAGTCCCAGTGCTAACCTTAGTCCCGGTGCTAACCTTAGTGGCTGTACTAACCTTAGTCCCAGTGCTAACCTTAGTCCCAGTGCTAACCTTAGTGCCGGTGCTAACCTTAGTGGCTGTACTAACCTTAGTCCCAGTGCTAACCTTAGTGGCTGTACTAACCTTAGTCCCAGTGCTAACCTTAGTCCCGGTGCTAACCTTAGTGGCTGTACTAACCTTAGTCCCAGTGCTAACCTTAGTCCCAGTGCTAACCTTAGTGGCTGTACTAACCTTAGTCCCGGTGCTAACCTTAGTCCCGGTGCTAACCTTAGTGGCTGTACTAACCTTAGTCCCGGTGCTAACCTTAGTCCCGGTGCTAACCTTAGTGGCTGTACTAACCTTAGTCCCAGTGCTAACCTTAGTCCCAGTGCTAACCTTAGTCCCGGTGCTAACCTTAGTCCCAGTGCTAACCTTAGTCCCGGTTCTAACCTTAGTGGCTGTACTAACCTTAGTCCCAGTGCTAACCTTAGTCCCGGTGCTAACCTTAGTCCCGGTGCTAACCTTAGTCCCAGTGCTAACCTTAGTCCCGGTTCTAACCTTAGTGGCTGTACTAACCTTAGTCCCAGTGCTAACCTTAGTCCCGGTGCTAACCTTAGTGGCTGTACTAACCTTAGTCCCAGTGCTAACCTTAGTCCCGGTGCTAACCTTAGTGGCTGTACTAACCTTAGTCCCAGTGCTAACCTTAGTCCCAGTGCTAACCTTAGTCCCGGTGCTAACCTTAGTGGCTGTACTAACCTTAGTCCCGGTGCTAACCTTAGTGGCTGTACTAACCTTAGTCCCGGTGCTAACCTTAGTGGCTGTACTAACCTTAGTCCCAGTGCTAACCTTAGTCCCAGTGCTAACCTTAGTCCCGGTGCTAACCTTAGTCCCAGTGCTAACCTTAGTCCCGGTGCTAACCTTAGTGGCTGTACTAACCTTAGTCCCAGTGCTAACCTTAGTCCCGGTGCTAACCTTAGTGGCTGTACTAACCTTAGTCCCGGTGCTAACCTTAGTGGCTGTACTAACCTTAGTCCCAGTGCTAACCTTAGTCCCGGTGCTAACCTTAGTGGCTGTACTAACCTTAGTCCCAGTGCTAACCTTAGTCCCGGTGCTAACCTTAGTGGCTGTACTAACCTTAGTCCCAGTGCTAACCTTAGTCCCGGTGCTAACCTTAGTGGCTGTACTAACCTTAGTCCCAGTGCTAACCTTAGTGGCTGTACTAACCTTAGTCCCAGTGCTAACCTTAGTCCCGGTGCTAACCTTAGTGGCTGTACTAACCTTAGTCCCAGTGCTAACCTTAGTGGCTGTACTAACCTTAGTCCCAGTGCTAACCTTAGTCCCGGTGCTAACCTTAGTGGCTGTACTAACCTTAGTCCCGGTGCTAACCTTAGTGGCTGTACTAACCTTAGTGGCTGTACTAACCTTAGTCCCAGTGCTAACCTTAGTCCCGGTGCTAACCTTAGTGGCTGTACTAACCTTAGTCCCAGTGCTAACCTTAGTCCCGGTGCTAACCTTAGTGGCTGTACTAACCTTTGTCCCAGTGCTAACCTTAGTCCCGGTGCTAACCTTAGTGGCTGTACTAACCTTAGTCCCGGTGCTAACCTTAGTGGCTGTACTAACCTTAGTGGCTGTACTAACCTTAGTCCCAGTGCTAACCTTAGTCCCGGTGCTAACCTTAGTGGCTGTACTAACCTTAGTCCCAGTGCTAACCTTAGTCCCGGTGCTAACCTTAGTGGCTGTACTAACCTTTGTCCCAGTGCTAACCTTAGTCCCGGTGCTAACCTTAGTGGCTGTACTAACCTTAGTCCCAGTGCTAACCTTAGTCCCAGTGCTAACCTTAGTCCCGGTGCTAACCTTAGTCCCAGTGCTAACCTTAGTCCCGGTTCTAACCTTAGTGGCTGTACTAACCTTAGTCCCAGTGCTAACCTTAGTCCCGGTTCTAACCTTAGTGGCTGTACTAACCTTAGTCCCAGTGCTAACCTTAGTCCCGGTGCTAACCTTAGTGGCTGTACTAACCTTAGTCCCAGTGCTAACCTTAGTCCCGGTGCTAACCTTAGTGGCTGTACTAACCTTAGTCCCGGTGCTAACCTTAGTGGCTGTACTAACCTTAGTCCCGGTGCTAACCTTAGTGGCTGTACTAACCTTAGTCCCAGTGCTAACCTTAGTCCCGGTGCTAACCTTAGTGGCTGTACTAACCTTAGTCCCAGTGCTAACCTTAGTCCCAGTGCTAACCTTAGTCCCGGTGCTAACCTTAGTCCCAGTGCTAACCTTAGTCCCGGTTCTAACCTTAGTGGCTGTACTAACCTTAGTCCCAGTCCTAACCTTAGTCCCGGTGCTAACCTTAGTGGCTGTACTAACCTTAGTCCCAGTGCTAACCTTAGTCCCGGTGCTAACCTTAGTGGCTGTACTAACCTTAGTCCCGGTGCTAACCTTAGTGGCTGTACTAACCTTAGTCCCGGTGCTAACCTTAGTGGCTGTACTAACCTTAGTCCCAGTGCTAACCTTAGTCCCTGTCCCAGGTCGTGTATATTAGGAATTTTCCCCACTCCAAACCAATAATTAAAGTTGATCAGAAATCTATCAGTGACTGTTTGGTGCAGTCCAGATATAGAACATCCAGATCCTGTAAATCTGTAAACGGACCCCAGTTCTAAACTTGGAGGTTTACATTATCAAGCTCTGATGCCTGCATCCAGGAGGACGATCAGCTGTGGATCAGACCTCAGCGTCGCAGCAATAAACCAACGTTTGTCACCTTGAATGTTTGAGGCGATGAGGAGTTTTCTTTCTGTCATCAGGAACTCTGTGATCTTTAATGTTGAGATATTGATGTGAATAATTATTAACAGCTGTCAGTTTATGGAGGGAGGGAGGGGGGGGGGGGGGGGGGGGGGATTATGAAATCAGGTTTAAAGTCCAAAGATCTAACTTGGGTCCAGTTTAATTCAGAGAATTTAGTTTTTTATGGTTTATCAGAACTTTATAGAGACAACCAAGCATGAATGTGAAAAACATTAAATTAGAGAATAAATTAAATCCTTTATTTGGCTTCAGCTTTGAAATAAACATATTTAATGAAAAAAGATGGATAATTTACAGAATTAAACAATTGTGAAAAGATAGCGCCCCGTCGCTGCAGTAGGGGGCGCTATTCAGACAGGCGGGAATCACCATGGTAACAGGGAGGAGCAGCTTTCAGCATTTTTCTGCGTGTCTTGTTTTAAAAGAAGTTTCCTACAAACATTCAGTTCATAATCAGCACATCAAAGCAAACATTTTCCAGCAAAGTTTGTGAAACTGAAAGAAAAACATGAAGGAAAAAAATCTCAGCAGTTTGTTGAGATGAACCGTAGAACATCTCAGCTCCATCAGCTCATTTACAGACACTGATCTAAATAAACTATTATTATTTTCTGTCATAAACCCT